AGGTAAATATCAATAAATATATTTCACATAACAAAAGCTCTTTGGGGTCCTCAGTAATTTTTAAGAGTATAAAAGTGGTCCAGAGACCAACAGTTTGAGACCTGCTGTCCCACCTACACTAAAGCGTAAAGGTCTCTCACTTGGCTAACCTGGGCTTTCATCAGTCTCATAGTCTCCTTAGAGCTGTATTTGTGTTTGTCTACACCAGCTTGTTACCCATGCCTGGCAATGTCCTGCTTGAATGAAGTGGGGACTATAATTAAAATATTCATTTGTTGTCACAGCACCTTTCACTCAATACATGACCAAATCATATACAATATGTATTACATCTGTCACTATAGTATTACATATAAAAGGTGTTTAAAGCTTTGCCAATATTAACAATGAAATGAGGCTACATCCTTTAATGGTATCTTATAACGAGGTCTAAATGGGTCTAACAGTTTATAATCTCTCTTTTTTTTTTAACATCTGCATTATTAAATTTTCACTGTTTTTCACTGTTTTGGATACTCAAGACAACTGGTACTTGTTGCTTCCATGCTATGCTAACTTGGTTCTCAGAACTCCAGTCTTTAGCAGAAACAAACTGTCTGGCTGATAGACAAGACTGATTTTTAATGCAAGCCAAGGTGTAGTAATAAAACTGAAAAAAAAATCTAGATCATAAAGTTCTAACCCATAGGATTATCCTGGAGCCTTTTTTAGCACCAAGAACAAGAATACTTAGAGCTGATGATCTTGCGGAGTTACATTGGAATTTGTACCAGCTATATTAAAAACAGAAGCAAACCAGACTGTGTATTTTTTAAAAGTTTACAAGGGCAAAGCACTTCTTCTAAAATGTTATTCTCAAATGCTGCAAAGTACCTTAATTAATTCTTATGATTCTAACAGCCCTAAAAGCAAGTCATAAAAATGATATTTACTTGGGAGTATAAATTGGAATGACATTTTGGTAGGGCCATTTGAAAATATTTAGCAGAGCCTAACATGCATACCCACTGACTAAGCAATTCCAGTTTTAGAAATTTATCCTGAGAAAAGCAGCAATGACATAGATATAAGGATGTTCATTACAGTGCTGTGTATAATAATAAAAACATTTAGGAAAGAGCCTAAATATCCGACAACATGGCGCTGATCAAGTAAACCATGGTTCAGCATATAATGGAATACTATATGGTCACAGTACAGAATTCAAACAGTATATCATAAAATTACGTATGGCAAGGAAAAGTACTCACTATATATTGCTGAGGGAAAAAAACCAAGTTATAAAACTGTAGTATTATATGATCTCATTTCTGCTTAAAATATGCATAAAAGTATGTGGAAGGGTATATATATATACATATATATATCTATATATATATGTGTGTATAAATTAATAGTATTTATTGTTGAGTTTGGGATCACAGGTGATTTAATTTACTTCTTTTGCAGGATCTATACTCTGGTTTTTCTACAGTGAATATCTTTTCTTTATATAATAAAAAAATTAAAATATTTACTTGAGGCAACCATGCAATTGTTAGTGTTTTCCTATTCTTATATTACTGAATACTGTATGTACTAAGGGAAAGTGGTGAAGGGGAGAGAGAGGAGAAGAGGAAAAGGGAGGAAGGCAGATAGACATTTATATTGTTTATTATTTTATCTTGTATGTTTGTTGTGAAGTTTTATGTTAACAATCTGGAAAGAATTTTCAATGGAACATAGTAGTGAATAGTTAATGTTCACAAGACTGCAGTCTACTCTCATAGATTTAATTTTTTCCCTCCCCTTAGAATGCCAATTTTGTTGTGTAAGGAGCAGGTGGCTTTCTTTTTTATAAGTCTCTCTACTGCCTTGTCAGACAGCTCTCAAAACTTTTTTTGGGAGCTAACCAAGCTTTATCTAACCAAACCCAAAATGGCATATGGACTTCATCCACATGGTCATATGAATCCTTTGGCTGATAACTCCTACTATGTATCTAATTGGTTTTATAAAATCCATGTTTGAAGAAGGTTTCTATAGCTATAAGAGTGTGTGATGCTGTGGGATGAAGGAATGTAGTGGCAAAGAGTCTCCTTTAGCTGCTATACTAGAATCTGGTGCCCGTCACTACCACTATCAAATATTGGCAGTATATATCCCAACAAAGGAAGAATGATAATAATTTTGAGTGAAAAATTTCTATCATGCATTTCAGCTTAGATCTACTAATAACACTTCCTTAAATGCCTTGTTAGACAGTGAAATCTGGGAATAATTATCAAACACCATATACAGTGTTTACAATAGAATCATATTTCTTTTCTTTCTCTCCCCCTCCCACTTTTTTTTTTTTTTGCATAAAAAGTAGAATGCTGCTGAATGGTACCCAAATGTCTGTTGTATACTATGCCAATACAGCAGCTCAGCCAAAAATGTGAATAGAACAGTTTGCCAAGTAAAAGAAAACATAACAAATTGGTAATGGTTTCTATCTTGACAGAAAATGAAAATGATCCCTCAATGTGTGGTCACTCATGTGGACACATAAAAATGTCTTAGAAGCAATCATTTTACCTCAGATAACAGACCCTGACGGTGTAGTACAGCACTGGCTGACTTTCACTTCTTAGAAAAGCGGCAAGCGTGACCTACAAAATAGTCTGGGAACCATGTAATTTATGCATAACACACATGCATATGCCATGAAGTCATAATATTTGCTATAAATCATTTTGAATACAAGACTTCTTTTCCGAGTGGAGTATACTTTATGAGAGATGATCTAAATCACCAGGGACTTGATAAAGCTGAACTGGTTTATTTATGAACAGAAGTGATGCTGTTGCTTATCAGGTTACAAAATTTCAGTATTCTACAATGCAACACAAAGGCTATATATAAGTGCCCCCATGTATTCTGTAAGAATACTAAAGGTACTTTAATTAGATGTTAGATTAAAAAAATATACAAAAAGTATGTAGGTACATAGTGTAGAGTTCTGACTTTCTGGTTAGGTGACTGCAATTGCAAGCAGAAAGGAACCCCTGGTGATGGTTCCTTTACCCTATTTCCCCTTCCTTTACCACTTATTTTTATTCCCCAGATGGAGAACTAGCCAATGTCATTGACCAGTGGTCTCTTTTTCCCCCAATCTGGTGAAGTTTCCCCATTTGTTTAACTCTCTAATGAGGATGTTAGAATACTGATTGTATTGTGAAATCACATCAAAAACAAGAATGACACTTTCAAAAACACTAATTGATATCTGATGCTAATGAGGAATTCAAACTGAGAGGATACTGAACCAAGGGACTAGGAAGAACCTTGGGAAGGTAAATGGTCTTGCCAAGTTGAAAGTAAATTTGAATCCTGTGGGTTATGAGTTTCAAATGAAACTTCTGGGTTTAAATTTGTTGGTGACTTTCCTGTTCAATAAAAAAGGACTTAAATGGCTTACAAGAAGGTTAAAAAAACTTATTGGGCATCAAACTGCTCTTACAAAACACCATCTTGATGAGTTAAGTGTAAATGAATCAGAAACACATGGATCATATTTCCTTAAAAAATGCATATGGATTCAAAAATAAGGGGAAGAGGACTTGGCAAAACATTTTTTTGTGTGTAGTGGCTGAACCCAAAACATTTGAAAGATATTTTGAGACATTCAAAGAATCCAAAATAAAACTAAACCTGTCCAGTCATATAAAAAAACAAAGTTTTTCTGTGCAAGTGCATTTATCTCTATGGGTCATTCAACACTCACTGAGCCTTCACCTTTGGCAAAGAACTATGGGAGGAGCCAGCTTCTGCCTTAAGCGACTTTGAATTTAAGTATAAACGAGTACACATAAGTAATAGAAACCTATTAAAAGAGACCAAGGGTTTTACAAAAATTGGCATCATAACCCAGACCATACAGAAATCACATATCAAGAAATATACAAGTATTTCCAGGATCGTATGGTAGGTAGGATTCATCCCATTCAAATCATCATCACCCGGCCCTTTTGATTAAAGTTATATGTAGTTGCAGAGCCTTACTTGCTTAAATGTTTTCTTAATAAGTGTTTTTATGTCTTTTTTAATATGTGTTCCAGCCCTCCTTCCTCCACCCTCTAGATTTGTGAGTGCTCAACAAATCTTGCTGACTGGTTTCCTGGAGGATGGGAGTGTTGAACAGAGTTTTGAAACAGGGGAGAGATGCTGTTTGGCAGAGAGGAGTGAGGCTATGATTCTGGGTTGGGGTAATGGCACATGTGACAGCTCAGAGGCTCCAGAGGGTGAGTCATGTGTGGGGGGTGACCCACTGGCTTGCTCACAGCAATGTGCCTGAGCCAGGGTGTAGTGCGGGCGTGGAGGCAGTTAGGTGCGGGGAGGCCTAATATACTACATGTGGAGTCAGCTGGAGGGGAGAGGAGTGTGAGAAGAGAAAAGCACAGTGCTTACGCTTTTTTTTTTCCTTTTTGCCAGTATAGGATAAAGTGCTAAGCACAGGACACATACAAGTCATTAATCCCTTTATTTCTTATCAGTTAAATAAAAGCTGAAAAATATCCAAAGATAAAAATAAGTTAACTATGCATGTATTGCTAGGATCCTATAGGTCATAATTTGAAGAGGAACTTGGTAGGATTATGAAATGGACTAATGAGTTCTAAAATGTTTGTGGGAAAGTGTAAAAAGTTAATGACTCAGAATCTTTTAAGGCTGTTTTCTAGCTCTTTAATGTGAGTCTTATCTTTTCCACAATATTAGAAAGTTATTTAGGGCAAGGATAGGGTCATATATTTCCTGTGTATTTTCTACTGGCTAGCACAATACTGGGAATACACCAAGCACTAAATAAATGCTTACTGAACTGCAATGAAGTAAAACGGCCGAGGTCCTATAATGATGAGGGTATAACGGAAGGTAAAGTCTGAAAAAAGAAGGGATGATATAGTAGAAATATCCTAATAGTGTCTCTGCTTTGAGCTTGTTTGTTCATGGTAATATAAAGAGATGAAAGGCCTTACCATCCTTCATCATCTTCTACTTCTGTTTCAGAAATGTCATTTTCAGGAGTTTCAGCAATTGCTTGAGTGAGTTTAGATTTAAACTGGTTCAGCAGCGCAAGGGTCTGAAATAACAATTAGACTGCTAAGTTTCCTGATAAGGATAAATATAATTTCAGAAGAGACATTTAAATTTGGTAGAAAAGAAAATATCCTTCCAGGATGTAAAACACTTAATTTTTTTAATTTTGAAGGAAAATAACAAAACTGCCTTCCAGCTGCAGCAGTGATTGATATTCACAAACCTTGACATTGCCCCATTTGCACTTGCACTGACATTTTCCCTCCGGGATATGTGACTGTTTTCTGATTTGGGGAAAATAAATTTATGTAGAAGACGTTTAAACTTTAAAATGCATGCTTACTAATAGCTAAGTTTTTAGTGTCCACAAGATAGGGAGGTACTTCACTAAGACATGTGAAATCAAAAACAAAACACCAAAAACAAATAGTATTGAACAAATTTCCAAAAATATAAAAATGTCAATGTTGGGGAAGGTGAAATGAATGAACATGTTAATTGTTGGAAGGTGCGTAAATTGGAGTGACATCTTTGGAAAGTTTTTTATACATATCAGAAACTTTAAAATGATCATTCCCTTTGATTCAATAATTCCAATACTGGGAATACATGTAGGAAAATAATCTGAAACACTGAAAACGGCTTATGCAAAAGATGTGTGCTGCAGCAATATTCATACAAGTGAAAAATGGAAACCTGTTAAATGTCTATTAATAAGGAGCTAGATAAATTTGGTAAAAAGCAGTGAATATGTGATTACAGTATTATTAATATTATACACATGGAATATTATATGCTATTGTTAAGTGAAAGAAGTAGGATATAAATATCACGTTGAGTGTGTTTTTGTAAAAAAGGGACTATTTCTCTGATATTTTTATTTTTGGCTCCAATGCCATTTGTAGGTAAGAGGAAACAGCAGGTGCCTGAAATTTTAATCACATTGTCCCCTGGCTATACCTTAACAGTTTGCTTCAGAATTTGAGCAGAGAATCAGAAATTAGAGAAATGTTTTTTTATTCTATAGTTTTAAAAAGTACATAACTGTGAAATGGGATAAAGTACTACCTTGTCTAAAAAACTCAAGTTTCTAATTAAGATGCTGGTACATTGAATTCAGTACTAAAATACAGTTGACCCTTAAACAGCATGAGTGTTAGGGGCACCAACCCTCTGGGCAGTTGAAAATCCACTCATAACTTTACAGCCAGCTCTCCCTCAACATTGGTGGTTATGCAACCAACTGCAGTTGGTCTAGAACTGTAGTACGTATTTACTGAAAGAAATTCACATATAAGTGGACCCACAAAGTTCAAAGCTGTGTTGTTCAAGGGCCAACTGTAATTACATTTCATAAGGAAAAATGTGTGTGATAGTTCAATATGTGAATAACAAATATAATAAAGAATCACAGTAACTTGGAGGCTCCAGAATTTATCTAAAATATCATTAAGACCATGGTTCGTGAAAAAATTAAGTAGGTTTTGGTGGTCTAGAACCTAAGCTCAATAAAGACAGGTGATGTCAAAATATCTGCAAGAAACAAAGGCAGTTATTGCTAAAAAATGATAGTGAAAAGCACCTTATATGTTTCTGCAAAATTTAATGCCCACATGGACTACAGTGGAAAATAGATACATTACCATAGTTGCTAAATGAGATGAGTTTTAAGGAAAAACTATAAATTCTATAGAATATCTTCATAGGCATTCTGAGGGCTGCTAGCATGTTAGGGTTTAGATATTTTATCTGTTTCTAGAGTAGCAATTATAGGACTAAGCTCTTCAAACAATGTTAACAGATAAAGAAAACATCCTTTAATTATTCATTAAAAAAACCTTTCACCTACAAACTTTTATTGTATTTGCTTTATAATAAGAAAAGTGATTATTGTAGAAATATTAGAAAACAAAGAGAAGCAAAACAAAAATATCTATTATCCCACCACTAAGAATAAGTAACCATTGTAGACATTTGGTATATATCCTTCAAGGCTTAAGTGTTTCTGTGTGTGTATATATCTATATATTATATAAATATATACCTCTACATGCCTATCTCTATATCTCTCTATCTATCTATCTATCTATCACTTAAAAGCAAACCCCATCAATTTTTGATGGTGGATTTTCACACACTTGGAAACGTCTTTTCTGAGGGCATAAAGAAAAATGAAAACAAAGGAGACCTCTTAGTGGGATGAAATTTTAAAACTTCCTAGAAAACTGCGCTAGACCTGGATTTTATTCTTTTGAGTTGAAAGTGGCGAGGCAGTCTGTTTTGAGAGCCAATTAACGTGCTATTGGTATTTGCTCAAAGAAGGAGGACTGGGACTATGACAAACAAAAAACATCCTCTCAGCCTTTCTTAATTTCTCCTATATTCAAGATTGGACTTTCTCTAGTTGCATTCGAAAGGCAAGAAAGGACACTAGGCAGAAAAGCTAACACCACAAAAAAAAATGGGGCCCAATATAGGTTGAAGAAGATAGGATCTGCATGGAGGCATTTCTGTTTGGCATCTCCAGGGGAATTAGTCTTCTGGCTTTTGCTGAAGGAATGAAGGGCCAACCATTAACAGCATGCTCTTCAGCACAGAGCAAGCCTTCCCGGCATGAAGAAGCTGTGCTGAAGGGGCCTGCCCTGGCACACCTTGTGCATGCATATCTACATAGAAGAGTCTCTCAAATGGCCTCTGTGCTGCCAGTCCTGCCCCGGGTCCAGTCTACTCTCCATACTGCAGCCAGGTGGGAGGGATCTTCCCATAGTGCAAATGAGATCATATCACCTCCTTCCTTCGATGGCTCCCCATTGCTCTTAGGGTAAATCTCAACTCCATAATATGGCTCAAAAATATCTTGTGTGAACTGGCTCCTGCTTACCTCTCCAGCCTCATCTCTTTCTTTTTCTTAGTCTAAGTTCCAGTCATACTTAACATCTTTTAGTTCTTTGCAAAAGAGGTCAAAGACTCCTCATATACTGTCCCTTTAGTCTAGCCATGTTATGTCCTATCCAACCCTCAAAGCTCAGCTGACAAATCATTTTCTCAGGGAGGCCTTCCCAGATTCTTATGCCATGTTAGGTCCTACTGTTATACATTGACATAGTTTCCTGTATCTAACCTGTCATAATGTTCACCCCTTTTATTAGTATTACTTAACTGCCTCTTTTTCCTGATAGCTCAGAGAAGACAGGGATGTTTCTACCTCGTTTACCACCAAATACAGTGATTAGGACATGGTAGATTCTTAATAATTATTTACTAGGAGGGAAGAAAGAGGAATGCAAGAATAAGAGTGATCCTTCACATCTTTGGTAGTACATTCAGAGGACTTTTGTGACTCCATGAAAACAAGTTAATAAAGTACTTTTTCTTAATTTCATTTGATGTGCCATTTCTTTTGAAAACTGCACATGTTAGTTCTCTGTAATTACAATTTCCTATACCTGAATTCTTGTTGAATTTTCCCTATGATTATTTTCACGCTGGGCACTGATGCATGATCTTCCTTACCAGTAATTAGGTGTCATTTATAATATAGTTCCTGATTAGATTAATTTATTCAAACAGGCTTGGGCTTTTAAATTTACTTTTATTTTGCCTATTTTATTTATATGCCTAAAATGGCATGTTCTCATGTATATATGGCAGCACCGAATATAAGTAATTTTGGTCTGCCCCCTAGCTTTTCAACATAAAGAGCTGCTGAAGAGATTCATTTTATCAAGTGCCAAGTGCTGCATGGTGTTGACTCCCAAACTGATGAACTCGCTTCCTGTCTTTTTTTTATTCTTGATTTCTGACAATCCTCTTATATTACTACTTAAAGACTCAGGAATGACTTTCAGTAAGCAGACTTTCATGGTATTATTTATGGTAGAAGTCAACTAGTGGACAAAGTGCCTTATTTACAGGCACTGTACAATTTCAAATGGAGCTGCCTAGGCAGCAGGTGAGATGCTGATCCAGAAGAGATACCTTCATCATTTATAATCACCCCATCTCATAATATTCACTTAGTCAAAGGTTCTACCGGAGTACCTGGTAATATGTGGTTTTACTACGTTCCTTCCTGTGTTTAATAAGGGAGTACAAGGTTGAAACCTGAAAGTTTTAGGCTTTATGCCTTTATGTCAGGAAAGAACTCTATCATCTGGATCTTTGCTTAAGTGGCCAAGGTCCTTGTCACTTCACCCCTATATTAATATATCCTTTTCCATTTTTAAGAGGTGATGTTTCCCCTTGTGTATAATCAAATTAGGCTCCATTAACAATACTTGAAGACAATTAAAAGGCAATGAACTGCGTATGGATTTTGGTTTGTGAAGTTACCTGGTCTTCACGGGAAGTTCCCTTCTTTGCCTGCTGCTTCCTCAAAGCTTCATACTTTTGCTTTTCTCGTCTGTATTCTGCAACAGCACCATCTGGAGCAGCCTCTTCCTCTGAGGAATAATAGAATAGTCTTAGGATAAATAGTAAAAAGGCTCTATGGAAGCTCCACAATGATTACCTAGATTAGAAAGTGATTGATGTTAATTTATCAACCAATTTTATAAACATCTTTATTATATACTGTACTATTGTAGTTGTTCTCAACTGTATTTATTTGACTATAAAATCACCTATCTCACTTTTTTTCTTCAGTTAATTTTTTTTTATTTTTTATTGGAGTATAGTTGATTAACAATGTTGTGTTAGTTTCAGGTGTAGAGCAAAGTGACTCAGTTATACATATACATGTATCTATTCTTTTTCAAATTCTTTTCCCATTTAGGTTGTTATATAATATTGACCAGAGTTCCCTGTGCTATACAGTAGGTCCTTGTTGCTTATCCATTTTAAATATAGCAGTGTGTACATGTCAATCCCAAACTCCCTAACTATCCCTCCTCCTAACCCTTCCCCCATCTATCTCACTTTTAAAATAAGTAAGGTATTCCTAAAATTCAGCAATACCATTTTACATTATTCTCTTGCCTTATAAGATATAATCTTTCAACATTGGTTGATTTTCCAATTACCTGCCACTTTTGCTCCCCAGTTAAAATAATAACAACAACAAACAATTTCAATTTAATGGCATCATAAAATATATCTAACAAAAAATCAGGACAGTTACCTAGAGCAGATAGAAATAAGTTTTACTAAATTAGAAATTAGAAAAAAAAATCTATGGATTTGATTCTGCAATAATTCCATACAAACAAAGATTAGCTAACATCTGGGTTCACAGAATACAGGTTTGCCTCAAAAAAAAAAAAGTACTAACATTTTACATTATGTTACATTTGTATATATTAATGCAAATTTGTGACTTAAGGGAAAAAAAACACAAAAACCTATCTCTTCTCATCTTTGGCTGGCAAACCAAGGTGAGCCAGTTGAAATCAAGAATACCAGTAATCTTTCTATTCAAGCCTTGATTTGTTGCTTGCCTCTTTGTTACCTAGTTTGAGGAAAATAATTAATGAGTAATATATTAATAATCAGCCATTTTGTTCAAGAGATTGTCTAGTTAAAAAAATGTGTGAACTAAGAAACAAGTAGTCTTTTTATGTTTACCTAATATGATTTTGATGTTGGTCAAAGGGTACAAAGATTCAATTATGTGGGATAGAAAAGTTCTGGAGATCTAGTGTACAGCATGGTAACTACAGTTAATAATACTGTATTGTATAATTAAAATTTGCTAAGAAAGTTGATCACCACACAGACACAGACACACACACACACACAAACTGTAACTTTGTAAGGTGATGGATATGTTAATTAGCTAGACTGTGGTAATCATTTCACAATGGTTTCTCTAGTTCTTAGTCTTCTGAGATTTTTAATTGTCTGGCTTTAGGATGTCTTTCCTCTCCTCCTGTTTTTATTTCTAGCCAAAATATTTCTAGCCAAGCAAACAACTTGAGAATAGCTGTGAAATCAGCTGACCTTTCATTATATACATCTGTGATACCAAGATTAAGCCTGCTAAGGTTCCATCTGGACTGCATGGAAACTATAACCCAAACACTTCTACATGGTACACAGAGTCAAATGCAATGATATCTGCCACACAAACTCAACTGTGTGAAAAATATGGTCAACTCTTCTATTTCCTAACTGAGTATATCACATCAGTATAAACTACTTCTGTTTATAGTATGATCAAATGTTCATAGCACATTCATTTTTCATGTTTTTATTTCTTAACACTATACTCTGAGTAATTTCCTTAGCTCTGTATTTCAGTTCACTGATTCTCTGTTTAGCTGTATCTAATCAGTTTTTAAGATATAAACTGAGTCATTGATTTTAATAATCATAGCTTAAAATTCTAGACACTTGTTATGTTTTACCTTTCAGATTATTCTTGGGGATCCTTCTATTATGTCTTCTGACTCTCTCCCCAGAGTGGTTATTTCCCCATGTGTTTTCTAATTTTTGACTCTGTGTGTACCTACAGCTAGAGCTACATCTTTGTCATGCTCCATAGGAATCCTTGGCACCCAGGATTATGTAAGGAGTCCTACAGAGAGCTTTTGCATTTGCTTCTACCAGGAAATTAAGGGGTTCCATTAGTGCACAGCCATTTTTTCCCCAAGTTAATTTCCTGGCTTAGGATTCCTGTACCATATAGGCAGTGTACATTCAGACTTTATAGCTGTGCCTTGTAGAGTTTTAGAGTTTTGATATTTTTTATGATAGACATTTTTTTTTCCTCCCACATATAGCTCTGAAAAATGACATGCTTCTTTGTGGCCTTCCTGACCAGGTGGACAGTGTTTTTAGTTCCTTCCTCTTTTTTTTTTTTTTTTTTTGGTACGCGGGCCTCTCACTGTTGTGGCCTCTCCCGTTGCGGAGCACAGGCTCCGGACGTGCAGGCTTAGCAGCCATGGCTCACGGGCTCAGCCGCTCTGCGGCATGTGGGATCTTCCCGGACCGGGGCACGAACCCGCGTCCCTTGCGTCGGCAGGTGGACTCTCAACCACTGCGCCACCAAGGAAGCCCCAGTTCCTTCCTCTCTTGATCCAAGACTATATCTCTGTCCAAGTGTGAGATTAAAACCTCAGCTTCTAGCTATCAGAGCCTACGTCTGGTTCCAATATCCCCCTGGGCAACTGTAGTGTCAACTTGCCCACTTAATGCTCTGGTTATGCCTCACCTTTGTTTCTGGTACGTAGGAATTTTCTTTTCTTTCTTACCTTCTCTCTCCCCTCCCCCTTTCACTTTCCCTCACCCTGCCAGCCCCCTCTCTGTCTCTTTCAAGCTTAGCTAAGTATTTAAATTGGGCTGGATCATATTTTATCCAGAATTTCTATATATTTGTAAAAGGAGAAAGTTCTTTCTTAACTCAGTCCATGTTGCCAGAACAGGAAGTAGCACATTCATTTCTCATGTACTTGAATGCCCCTGGATAAACAAAAATTGAATAAGTGACTGGATGATTTTAGTCACATAAAACTAGCTAATAAAATATAAAAGGAGTTTGAAAAAAATCAGTTTAAGTACAGAGTGCTCTACTTCTGCTTTTCTTAAAAATCTCAATATATGCTGGATGACAATTTATAAATAATGATGCAGTATGACAACTATTTGTTATTAACTGAAATTTCTATAAAATATATGCTAAATAAATAGGAATGAAGAATGGGAGAAGAAAGAACATTTAGTAAAAACCTACTATGTTAGGTACCATGCTAAGGTTCTTTGACTATCCATAAAGAAAGTATCTATAAACCTATTTGACAAATTAGGAAACAGGATAAGACCACAATTAGAATATACTAAAGCTGGAACTTGAACCCAGGTCTCTATGATACTAAAATCCCACACTGTGCCCTACTGTCTTCAATTAAAACTTCAGTTCAGAAAATAAAATTTAGTAAGTGTTGCCCACATGCCTGACACTCTAGGAAATGCTATGAATGATATCTAAAGCATACATGATGCAGGCTTTTCATTCTAGAAAATAATCTAAAGAGTAAAATAAACATAATATATGTAAAAATAGTTAAGAGATCAAGCCATTGATTGTAAGTATTATGTTGCTGATTCTTGGGTAGAATATTAGCCACCTAGAGAGGAGTTAAAGCTTACCTATGTTATAGTGTTAGAATAAAAAAATTTAATATCTTAGTGACCTCTGAGATAATATTAGGAAATATATATAAAAGGGTTTGGTGACAAGAATGTCCAACAACACTGTAACCATCAATGTACTACTAGAGCATCAGTTTGCTAGAGCACTAGAACTTAGCTAGTGTCGCATGTGGATTAGCAGCAGAACTTGGGCTAAAACTTATGTTCTGACTCCTAGTTTTGGTGACAATCTGTAGTAAGACTAAAGGTTCAATACTGCACTTTTCCCCCTGCATGTTATAAAGAATGTCTCTAACTCTTCCCTAAGAACTAGTCAGAAACATAATCTTTGCTCCACTTGAATCTCTTCATTACAAAACCTTTTTGTTCTGAGCAGAAAGAAGTGATGACTACTCAATTATTGGTTACTTAGCTAATGAACCAATGGTATCCATCTATTACAAATCTCATTTTATAGATAAAAGGGCTTATACCCTCTACTGTCTCAGTACCAGAGCTCAAGGAGCTAAAAGCTTCAAGTAGCTGCACATTCATTCATTTAAAAAAAAAGTTTAGTAAGTGATTATTATGTGTCAGAAACTGTTAATAAAGCTACTTATAAATGACTTTAAATAGATCTAGATCTACTATTTCAAGGAAATTTTTGAAAAATTCCCATAATAAAAACTTTTATATAAATAAAGGTAAATGTTGTTTACTAGTGATAATAGTAAACAACATTTGAAAACAAAAGGGACAGACTTTAGTGGATATAGAAAAACACCAAAGCTACTCACATCTCATCACACTTTGTATCTCATGATACTTTCTGGAAGCTACAAAGTATGTTTTAATCAAATTTTATACATACCAGATCTTAAATTAATTCTAGGAGAAGTACCAGACTTGAAAATAGCTAACATGATAGCTAACATTTCAAGTACTCACTATGTGCCAGATACTAGTACCTTGAATTACTTGCTTAATCCTCATAACCAACAACCCTATGAGGAAGTCATATTATTGACCCCATTTTGCTGATAAGGTAACTAGGGCAGTAAGAGGTTAGATAACTTATCTCAGGGATTATAAACTCGAGAATAAGAAACCATGCAGTCTAGCTCTAAAGTACAGACTATTAACCAGCTTGCTTATTTCTTCTTCATGTCTGAAACACAAGAAAACTTAGAAGAAAATATTCCAATCTGACATAAAAAGGCATCAGGTCACCATACTGGATGTGTCCTGATGAAGTAAAGTCCTACCAACAAAAAAAGGTCCTGAATTCCTCCCAGACCATAATAAATGGGAACTGCAGTCTGCCAAACAGTGGGTTAATGAAAATAATTTCCTAGAAAGAGTTCTTTATGGCTTT